GTGTGTGTGTGTGTGTGTGTGTGTGATTGGGTGGGGGTTGGGGTGGCGACCCATCCCCCACCAATCAATCAATCAATCAATCAATCAATCAGTCAATCAATGAATCAATAAAAAAAAAACGAGAAAAGCGGCTAGTTTTTCTCACACACACACGCACACACACACACAGAGGGCAATTTTTTTACTTTTTTTTTCACTTTTTTTTTTCCATGTGCATTCTGCCACGTGTCCGCGACCCATTGGGCCTGACCCGTTGATCGGATTTCAACGGGAAACCCCCGTTGTACCGTTCAACGGTGATTCAACTCGGACCCCAAGGGTGTACAACGGGTACAACGGAGTTGTACAAAACCCGTTGCGAGTTGAATGGATACATAGCCAACGGCAACGACGTGTCCGCTTTCACCAGAGAGTCGCTGAAGACTGCTAACTCAGGGTGTACCGTCACTAGGCATTCGGCTCCGAGTGTGAGGGGCTCGACATTGAAACTGGTCGCTAACTCACCCTCAGTCGGACAGCCTGCCTGCAGTTCCTTGTGGACTTCCATGCATAGCATTACGGCGTCCTGACATCGATCGCTTGTCATGGTGGACACGTCCTCCTGGTTCGGATGAATCCGAATTTCGCGGCCAGGGTTTTCGGAAACCCGGACCACCCGTTCGAGTTTCGTAGACCGCTGTGCTCTCTCAACGGTACTGGCTTCCCGGTTCGTATTAATCCGAACTTCCTTTTGAGGCGAAACTGAACATGGGTCGAGCTTGTCTCTGCCAGATCCGTGGTATGTTGTCGTCTCGCTTCCCGGAAGGCACTGAGTTCCGGACGACGATGTCGTCTCCGAGATTCGGATTGATCCGAGACAATCCGCCAACCCTTTTTGGAGCTGAGCGAAGCAAGTTCCATTCTTTGCAACAACTGCCCCGCCAACCGCATCGGTAAACTGTGTTGCGCTGGTGGAGCTAATCACAGGGTCCTGCTCGAAAGGCTGCGTAACCCACCAAGGCCTGAGGTCGTTCCCTGTCTCCATTGAGGTGGTGCCTAATACCGCCAGAACCCCACCGTCCTCGTCGCGGTCGACATCAGACCCCTGCCCGTCTCCTGAGTGATGCTTTGTCTTTTCTCCGCTGCGAGGCTTTTTCTTCTCTCGGCTGCCCTTTTCTCCCTCTCCGCCGCCCGCGTGCCGCGGAGACCGCTGTTTCATCGACCGCTGTTCACTTCCACCTCCGGTACCTCGTTGCCCGCCGCCTTCACCATCCCCTTCGTCGTCCTTTCCGCTTCACAACTCCTGCCGGCGGGGTGACGGCAGGCAACTCCCAACTCACTTGCTTAATTGACGGGCTTGACGGAAGGGCGTAGAACGCGGAGGATACTTCCAGCCAATTATTTGACTACAATAAATCGAACAGCATTTCCCCGTATGCGCGCAGAGCAGGGTCGTCCTTACTTCGTCGATTGACCTCCTCTAATCTCTCCAATACCGCATCGTAGGCGCGAGATTTGAATGTATCGAGGTCCCAACGATCGTCATATATCCACCTTCCACTTACGTCCCTCACAGCCACTGCCCGGTGGCCATCGAGAAGGACTGGCTGGAAATGGTCTGGGTGCCACACGATATCATGGCCCCAATCTTCGGCTGTGGAGAAGGTGTGTTTGTCGCCCATGTGGTAGGGAATTGCAGGAGCCTTGAGATGCGGATGGTCCGGAGGAACTGGATGGCCGGGTCGAAGACGTTTGGGCTGCGGTGTGAGATGAATAGGCTCCCCCGACGAACTCCTCAGACGTGACAACCCACCCCTCTTGACAGGCGCTAAGGAGGACATGGGCGTGGGACCGCCCGAGGTGGGTGTACTGAGAGGTGTCCCCGGTTTGCATACTGATGGCGACTCAGAAACTTGGGCGTTGAAGATGGCCAATTGCCCGTCCAAATCGAAGAGGTCATCCTCAACGCTCTCCTCCTGCTCAGTCTCCATATTGAAGTCGTCGTCCTCATCGAATGCCAGCCTGTAGTTATCCAAAGTGAAGTCGGCCGGATCGACCACATCCTCGTTAAAAACTACATATTCCAGCCTCTTAATGAAGCTCACAGCGCTGGCCCGACTCGCTCCTTGGTAGCCCTGGAGGACCGCAATGACGACTTCCTTCCGCACCACGTACTGCGGGTCAAATCTCAACGTTGGTTGTTCGCCGTAAAGAAAGGAGTACACCTGGCGCCTTTTCTTCGGAGTCAACTTGAAGAACAAGTCCTTGTTCGGGTCATAAACGGGCTCGACCACGACATGGTGGAAATCGCATGGGTAAGCCTTGGAAGACACTTCATGGGTGACATACTGCACAGTGTATTCGAGGTGCGTTGTGTCCCCATCCACGGCCAAGACGTGCCTTCCCTGCTGAAGCAGACTCCACACCACCTGCGCGTGCGGCTTGCCCAAGAACAGCACGGCATCTGCCACACCACAGAAGAAAAGAAGCTGATTGCATAATTGATTCGAATTTCGCTCGCCGTCCTTGTACTGAGCCCCCCTCTGGGTGAGGTTTCCGATGTCCGCGAAAGTCAAGGACTTGAAAGACTTCTCCTCCACATCCGTGGGTGTCACTTTCTGTTTCCTCCGGAGAGCGGCGGCGTCGTCTTCGGCAACAGCTCCCTCGTACACCGGGTGAGTCGGTAGTCGAGGATCCTCGCCTTTGAAAAGGATGTGCATCACATCCGGCTCCTCCCAGACGCTGTTTCCGAACTCATGCGTCTTCTTCGATGCCGTCTTCCGAACCCACTTCCCCGTGTAGCATCGGGTAGCCACAAGCGCAGACAAATATGTCATGAAGGAGAGGTTCCACAGGCAGGGAACGAATACCACCAATGTCCAGTAGTCCTGACAAACGAAGCCCAGCAACTCACTCAGAGACGCAAATGCCCCAGAGTCCCATTGTGCAAGGTCCACAGTTCCGCACAAGTCGAGCATGCAAGTGTGGGAGCGTAGCTAATGCCCTAGTTTTCCCAGCGCCTCCTTCTCATCTATGGCACTCAATGGGTCGACGTTAAACTGGGCCAGCGTCGTCAAGGCGCTTGTCCTCGTCCACAAAATGTTGATGCATTCATCAACGCCCCGAGGACTTTTTTTGCCTTTCGCGCGATCTCCATTGATCACCGAAAGGACGACACTCTTCCACTCCGCCGGGAAATGCTGGTCGTTAACGAGGGCCGCCGTTCTCTTGATGTTGTTGTCGTGTTGACACCGAAGAGACTGAGGGCACTTGTTGACGTACGCGGTGTCCGTGAAAAAATTCCTGCTCTCGTCACAAAGCTTGTCGTCGAGACATTTGTCCTTGAACTCTCCCAACAGTTGCTTCTTGGACCTGAAGAACGTGGAGTTCACATTCCACTCCCGCTTATCCATTTCCTCGTACTCGAACTCCACGTAGTGCCACAGCCTCAGCATAATCCGGTCCATTTTTATTATGTCGACCATCTCCTTGACACTGAACTTCCCCTGCTCGGCCAACTTCTTGCTACTCGTTTGAACCCACACGACGTTAAGGTTTAAGACGCCGTTCAACAACCTTTTCTTCTCGAGGTCCGTCAAGTCCACCAATTCCTTCCAGCAGTGGACATCGGGCTCAGGATCTTGGACGTAGTAAGTTTTCTCCTCCTCGCCTTTCTTTGGCTTCCCCTTGCCTTTTTTCAACGACGGGTCGTCCACCTTCACGTACCAGACGTGTTTCTTCAGCCCCTGGCTGTCAGTCACAATGGAGAGTCATGGCTTGGCCACCTCCTCATGGGTGGGCAGCTTTTCAGTCCAACGCTGGCCGTCGGAAGCAAGGAGTTTCCCTTTCGACCACTCATCATAGAACTTCTTCCCCAAAGCAAAGATAAAGTCATCTGCCATGGCCAGCGGAAGGTAGTATCGAAGTTTCTCAGCCCATTCCTTTCTGTTCTTTTCTTCCGTTGACAGGTTTCACAAAGGCGTGTACGGTTTCTTCTTCATAGCCAACGCCATGAACTGCACCCACTTTCGCACCTCGTCCTTTTTCTTCGACGCATTGCCGAGCACCACACGCGGTTTGCCCCTTATTTTCCAAATATTGCGAATGTCCCGCATAGACAAAACGTACAAGCGCAGTGGATTCTTCTTGTCTTTCATGTTGTCTTCGCAGCTAACATGGGCGTAGCCGTCGAACTCGTCGTCAGGGAAGTAGATCGGTCTGAACAACCATTTACAGAAGTTGTATTACTCAAACACGGGATGGTCTTTCACCTTCATCGCCGCCCTCGCGTTATGCTGTCCACACACAGGATAATACTAGTATTTCTCGGGCTGTGAGCTGTCGAAGTCACCAGGCACCACGCGCACGGCAGGCTCGCCCCTCTCTGCAGGTGCGACGATGGGAGCGAGAACGAAAATGGGCTTCGTGTATCTCATATCTTTACGTTCGTAGCAGTCGATCATAGCCGACTCGATGATATCAACGAGGAACTCGTCGAAGGATCGGAGGTTGTACGCGTCTTCCCAGTCTGGAATAGCCAATATTCTTTCGGGATGGATGTGCAACACGACGTCCCTCTGCACCCCTGTCTTCATCTCGAGGAAGCATGCATTGTTGAGATTAAAGGCGTTGAGGTTAATCTCCACGTCGTCATCCCCCTCCTCGTTGTCGCCCTCATCTGCTTTCTTCCCCCTCGATGATTTCGACCGTTTCCCAGAAGACTCACCGGTTCTTCGCCGTGTCGACGAGTCTTTTGGCGTTTCATCCCCACCTCCAACCCTTTTCCTCTTCTCAACGGAACCGCCCTCTCGTGTTGTTGGCGTCCGAGCACTCCCTCCTTCCTTTCTCTGCCTTTTCAGAGCACCTACTCCCTCTCGCTCTTCCTCATCTGGCAAGTTGCGCTTGCCTTCCGACTGAGTCTTTTCAGCCGATATCTCACGGAACAGCCCTTGCTCGGATACCTCCTCCTCACCGGCGACGTTCCCACTTGCTTTTCGTTCCTGGCTCATCTCCATCTGCAGTTGCGCAGGCGCAGGTCGGGCCCAGCGAGTCGTCTCATCTGACCCATGCACCTCTCGAACCTGCGAACCACCCACGCGATCGCCAGGTGAAACCTCGGCCACCTGCATGCCACGAACGAACGCACCGATCCTTTCGACCAGACGACGAGGAGTCGTCGATTCTGAGCCCTGTTGCAACCGTTCGCCATCGCCTCCTCCACGTGGCGTCGACTCCCCAAGCAATTCTTGGCGGCGAGATCCATGCAAGCCCGGTTTTAAAGGAGTACGTGGATGGTCGTCCTCCGAGTCGTCTGACATGCCCACCTCTTGATCAGGAGGCGTAGCTGGCAGGCCACCCTGACCTCCCATCCTCCTTGAAGAGCACTCTCCTCCCGCGAACCCAACAGGACCCATGATCGATGTCCCAGGTCCGACGTCCACGGCACTAACAGAGGTACCAGATCCAGCCCAAACCTCGAGGAAGTCGGTCACATGAACGGCCACGTCATGCCTCGGTGTTAGCGGGACAAACGACGGCAAAGACATCGCACGTCGACCGTACCCGCCGAACATCCTCCCGGCAACCTTGCATCCCTTTGCGATGTCGTCGACGGTACCGTCCCTTCTGAAATGCTTCCGCAATGTAAACTTGAAATTGTATTCGCCTTCGTTGACCCACTGGACGATGGACCCTGCGAGACGCGTTCTATCGGCGCGAACGGTGACAAACAAGAGCGGCCCGCACGGTGGTTGCAACGGGTCGGAGCCGTCCTGGCTCGCCCAGTCCAAATACCAGACACGTTTGCTGTACTCGCACCACAAGTTTTGAGCCCGTCGTTCTTCCTCCCCACCGCCACCTCCCCGACTCGTTTCCCTTGCCGGCAACGACGTCGTCCCTCGACTCTCCTCTCCATGCGGGGTGGAACTACCAGCGGAGCGGCGTCGTCCATGTGTAGCCATTCCCTGAAACACGCGGAGGAAATGAACCCACATGCAGTCAGAACAATCAGCACGTCCTAACATCAACCACGACCCACAGCACGTATTCTGTTATCGATCACCTGGACCCCAAAAGAACGAAGTTCAGTCATAGTTAGACGACAGTGGTCCACACGCTTGCACGATTCGGATGAATCCGAGGCATCGTGAGCCATCCTCGTCACACTGCCCTTTAGAGAACGAATGGTCGAAAACGAAGACCGCGGGATAGATCAGATATATCCGAAGTAGGCTCGGTCGAAAGACCGACGTTGCATAGGCACCTGCACCGGGAAAAGCAAGACCTCGCTAGAAGGCCCTAGAACGCTGATACAGCAGACGAAGAGGTGCACCCCATGGTGATATGGTATCATCCGAAGTCGACAAGCGGATTGTAAAGTTCGCCGGTGTAGTTCGGATGCATCCGAGCTCCAAAGTGGTGTGGACCACGCCCGTGTGGCCCGGACAAATCCGAACTCGAGTTTTCTCGTCCTCATGAGTCGGTAACGGTTGTGACTCGGATGCATCCGAATTCGAACAGCGCGGTCCAGGGACAGTCGTCCACAAGAGGACGCCATCTACAAAACGTGTTTTCGTCAACGACCTGTGAGCACTGGGTTAACCCTATCCTGCAGGAGGTTTGGTTCGGTTGAACCTGAACTTCGCCAATGTGGCTCGGATTAATCCGAGACGGGGACCGGCGGAGGGACCCCATGGTCTAATGACGCCCATCCAGCCATCCAAGCTTCCGTTATTCCCCAGTTGTCCTTGGGTCCACCCGAACTTCACACGGTGTGTCTTCGTCCTTGAGTGTTTAAGGAGGGTGTGGCTCGGATTTATCCGATTTCGACAGGGGCTGTTCCGATATGTGCGACCATGAGAGGCAATGCCGACACCGTGTGCTTCCATTGTATAAGTTTATCTGACCGTTCGACGTCGTCAATACCCTCTGCGCATGTGGTAAATCCGAACAAGCCATCGGTGTGGTTCGGATTAATCCGACTTCGGCGAGGCGCTTCGGTTTGTTGTCGCCCCACCACACACCGGACCTCCCCGCGATTGCCGTAGTGTGTCGTTATAATCTGTGCGTCATTACAGGGGATGTCATCGTCCTCGTGAGTTTTAGTTGGTTGTGGCTCGCCCAATCCAAACAACAGAGAGGTTTGCTGTAGTCGCAGCACAAGTTTCGAGCTCGTCTTTCTTCCACCCGAGCGTCACCTTCTCGACTCGTTTTAGTTGGATGAATCTGAGGCATCGTTAACCCTCGTCATCAGACTGCCCTTCGTAGAGCGAATGGTCGAAGACGAAGACAGCGGGGTAGTTCGGATACATCCGAACTGGGCACAGTCGAAAGACCGACGTTGTGACTCGGATGCATCTGAATTAGCACAATGCGATACAGAAACGGCCGACCACAAGAGGAGGCCATCAGCATGGCTTGTTTTTGTCAATGACCTGTGAGCATAGGGTGGACCCTATCTTGTCAGAGGTGTGGTTCGGATTAATCCGAGACGGGGACCGGTGGATGGACGGCACGGTCTGTTGATAGCGTGTGATTTCGTCGTTCACGTTTATCAGAACGTGCGATGTCGTAAATACCGTATGAGCATGTGACAAATCCAAACTTGCCGTCGGTGTGGTTCAGATTAATCTGAACTTCGCCGAGGTGCCTCGGTTTGTGGTCGCCCCGTGAGTTTTAGTGGGTTGTGGCTCGGATGCAACCGAAATTAACAAGGGTTGCTCGGATACGTTAGTTGTTGCGCCACCAGAGGACGGTATGGACAGGGTGGGTTGTCGTCCTCCTGGTTGGTCAGACATGTCGCCGTTGACAATACCCTATGAGCATCTGATCGCTCCGTGTCCTGTCCTGTGTCCATGTCAGCGGAAGGGTTCTTCGCGGCGATTGGCTGACGCGAGGATTGATAGGGTTTAAAGATTTGAATTCATGTTCGCCCTTGAGTGCGATCACAGATCAGTAATCCGAAGACTGCTAGGACATTGTCCTAGCAGTCTTCGGATTGCTGATCTGTGATTGCGCTCAAGGGGGAACAACCTGGAATCGATTAGGCGACTGTCAATGTCTTCGAATCTGTCGTAGCAGTCTTTAAATTAATGATTTGTGATTGCACTCAGGGGGGACCAACCTAAGATCGGTTGAGACGACAAGGAGAGGAGGCGACTGTCTGTGTCTGCGATACACAAAGATTGGAGAAAGGTTGAAAACCCGCATAGACACAGAAGGGAGACTAAGATCGATAGAGACGTCGACAAGGAGAGGAGGAGCAGCGAGGGAGCCTCTCTTTATCTCTTTGTCTCTCCATGTGCAGATCCTGCGGATGAAGTTGTCTTTTTCGGAATTCGCATGTGACCCATTTGAAAACTGCACAGAAGAAATATAAGAAAAATTTGTGCGTGTCGGCGAGAGGAAGAGTGACAAAAAATGTGAAAAATTGGACGAATGTAGAGGACAATTTACGGATACAAAACCGAACGCCGAGCGAACTGCACGACGCGACTTACGCAGAAAAACGAATAAACAAACCGAGCGTAATAAAAAATAATTCGGCGAGAAGAAAGTCCATGCACAATCGAGAAGAGAGACAATTCGTGAGAATCCATGTTTTCGTGTTCGACAACATACGACTAAAAACCTTATATCACAGTTCGTGAGAGAGACAACAAATTGACGACACGCGAGTAACAATTCAAGAAAACATCTGAAGTGACGACACAATCTCCAAGCGCGTGTCACAACATTCTCGGGCTACATTCGCGGGTCCTGTTTCGTTGGTGACCACTCGCCCCGATCAGATGGCACACTCACACGTCCACGTGTCAGCTTTTGAACATGCGTGGCCACGCTGATGGATGCGGGGCTCTATTCGACAACATCCCGTTGTCGCATAGAGCCCCACATCCATCAGCGTGGCCACGCTTGTTTAGGACGTGACACGTGGACGTCTGAGTGTGCCATCTGGTCTGGGCGAGTGATCGCCAATGAAACGCATGCATTCTTGCTCTTGAAACTCCTTCATCTCGCCCCGATCAGATGCCACACTCACAAGTCCACATGTCAAGTCCTGAACATGCGTGGCCACGCTGATGGGTGCGGGGCTTTATTCGACAACATTCTGCTGCCGCATAGAGCCTCACAACCATCAGTGTGCACACACTTGTTCAGGAACAGGCACATGGACGTTTGAGTGTGCCATCTGATCAGGGCGAGTGGTCGCCAATGGAACGAGATCCGCAAATGCGCCCCGAGGAAGTTCGGGAAAGAAACCGGCCAATGCATAAGACGAACGAAATAGAGGCACTGAAAAAAAACTAACGACAGGGACGAAGATGGTAGTTGAACACGACGGCACACACGTTCACGTGTCAAGTCCTGATCATGAGTGGCCACGCTGATGGGTGCGGGGCTCTATTCGACAACATTATGTTGCCGCATAGAGCCTCGCATCCATCAGTGTGCCCACGCTTGTTCAGGACCTGACATGTGGACGTGTGAGTGTGCAATCTGATCGGGGCGGGTGATCGCCAATGGAACTAGATTCGCGAAAGCAGGCCAACGCAAAAGACGAACGACATAGAGGCACAGATAGAAAACTAACGACGGGGACGATGATGGTAGTGGAACACGACGGCAGAACATATGCAATTGCCTTTTCTTCTTCGCATACGTTTTGCGGTCGTGTTCCTCTCCCGTCTTCGTCTTCGTCGTTGGTTAATATTTTTTTCGTTGGTTCTGTATCGTTCGTTTGTCTGCGCTTGTCAGTTTCGTTCGCAAACTTTGTGCGAACGACACAGACAAGCGCAGTAAAACGAACGAGATAAAAGACAGAAAGAGAGATAAATAGATAGCAGGAGAGAGAGAGAGAGCTACACAGAGATGATCTTCACCTTCATCACATGGCCCAATCAAACGTCACTGCTCGTCGCGCGGCGACTGAACCCAATGTAATCGCCACCGCGCGAATCCCGGCTACAGATCGCATACATGTGTGGGCACTCTGATGGATGCGGGGCTCTACGCAAACCCAGCATGGCAGGACTTTTCAAGTCGGTGGAGATGGCGAGAGAAAGAGAGTCAGAGAGAGAGAGAGAGAGAGAGAGAGAGAGAGAGAGAGAGAGAGAGAGAGAGAGAGAGAGAGAGAGAGAGAGAGAGAGAGAGAGAGA